GCTTTCATGCCTAAGGCGGGACTAGAACTCACCGTCTCCTGGTGATTTGTCCAAAGTCACCCAGCTGGCTTTCATGCCTAAGGCGGGACTAGAACTCACCGTCTCCTGGTGATTGGTCCAAAGTCACCCAGCTGGCTTTCATGCCTAAGGCGGGACTAGAACTCACCGTCTCCTGGTGATTGGTCCAAAGTCACCCAGCCGGCTTTCATGCCTAAGGCGGGACTAGGACTCACTGTCTCCTGGTGATTGGTCCAAAGTCACACAACTAACCATGTTTATACTTAGTCCTTGATTAAGAGTCCAATGGGAGATTTCAAAGTGAGAAGTCATAATCCCTCATTGCCAAGAAAAGGAGCTCAACTCCAGAGCGAGCTTTATATATTCGTAAATTATATATTGGTGTTCGTTGATGCATCTGAATTTCAGTTAAACTTCGGTGTCAATGGGATTTAATTTTTCTCCTGGCCTGGCTTATTCAGGGCAGTGCAAACCCCTGGCAGTCTTTCCTGTACGGTTTTAAGGGAGACCAGGCGACAACTCCAGCTTTTTTGCACGACAGCGTGCCCGGACAGGCCGTGCAAAAGATCTCAAAGATTCCTGCACCGTGCAGCCATCTTCAGTGGGAGTTTGTCCAGCCCTACCTCGTTGCAGGCTGCATGTTGTTTCGCAGCCTGGTGTATGGTGGGGGGAGCGGGTTCCCGTGCCGGAGTTCAGAAATTACGCTCCGTGTTCCAACACGCTTATCGCTAGCCTTCTGGAGTCTGAATTTCAGTTGGCGTGGTGGCGAGCGTGCGTACTACTTCAGTCTACCCCTGCTGTGTTTATCTAAGACAGGGGTAGGCAACCTTGGCTCTTTTATGACTCGTGGAGTTCAACTCCCAGAATTCCTGAGCCAGCCATGGCACAGCATGGAAACCTCTCCCTTTCCCCTCAGCATGGCTGGCTCAGGAATTCTGGGAGTTGGAGTCCACACATCTTAAAGTTGCTGAGGGGGAGAAACAATGGACTAGGCCAGGGGTAGGCAACCTTGGCTCTTTTATGACTCGTGGACTTCAACTCCCAGAATTCCTGAGCTAGCATGGCTCAGCTTGGAAACCTCTCCTTTTTCCCTCAGCGTGGCTGGCTCAGGAATTCTGGGAGTTGAAGTCCACGAGTCATAAAAGAGCCAAGGTTGCTTACCCCTGGTCTAAACCCAACATTGGGTCCTTCAGTGTCATCCTAGGACAGGGCAACCTTGGCTCTTTTATGACTGGTGGACTTCAACTCCCAGAATTCCTGAGCCAGCATGGCTCAGCTTGGAAACCTCTCCCTTTCCCCTCAGCATGGCTGGCTCAGGAATTCTGGGAGTTGAAGTCCACGAGTCCTAAAAGAGCCAAGGTTGCCTACCCCTGATATAAGATAAAGGCCGGGACTCTGCAGCCTTTGGGAAGAGGTTCAGGGCTGGCTAGATTTGCAGGAGATGCTGTCTAGCCCCATAAATTCTCCCGGTGGGAGGGTGAGTGGACATAAGGGATCTTAGGAAACAAAGTATTCTATCGGATTAGGGGGCGAAGAGGGTTCTTCCCTCCCCTACATGCATGTCAGCATTGCGCAATTCCCATGATTTTCACGGCTAAAGTTGGGGGTAACTGTTGGTGCTTTCTTAAGGAGGTCCAAAAAGAAGGGGCTTCTCTGTGGTGGCTCCCTCCCTGTGGAACATCATCCTTGCAGAAATAAGAGAATAGAATAACAGAGTGGGAAGGGACCTTGGAGGCCATCTAGTCCAACCCCCTGCGCAGGCAGGAAACCCTATACCATTTCAGACAAATGGCTGTCCAATCTCTTCATAAAAACTTCCAGTGTTGGAGCATTCACCACTTCTGGAGGCAGGTTGTTCCACTGGTTAATTGTTCTGACTGTCAGGAAATTTCTCCTTAGTTCTAGGTTGCTTCTCTCCTTGGTGAGTTTCCATCCGTTGCTTCTTGTCCTGCCTTCAGGTGCTTTGGAGAATAGCTTGACTCCCTCTTCTTTGGGGCAGCCCCTGAGATACTGGAAGACTGCTGTCATGTCCCCCCTCGCCCTTCTCTTCATTAAACTAGACATACCCAATTCCAGCAACCGTTCCTTATTATCTTTTAGCCTCCAGTCCCCTGATCATCTTTGTTGCTCTTCTCTGGACTCTTTCTAGAGTCTCAACATCTTTTTTACATCCTGGTGACCAAAACTGGATGCAGCATTCCAAGTGTGGCCTTACCAAGGCCTTGTAAAGTGGTATTAACACTTCACGTGATCTTGATTCTATCCCTCTGTCGATGCAGCCCAGCACTGTGTTGGCTTTTTTGGCAGCTGCAGCACACGGCTGGCTCATATTTAAATGATTGTCCACTAGGAGTATAATAAGACTGGCATTCACTTTGGCACCCTTTCAAAAGAGCTTGACGATTTTGGCTAGCCCACCTATCAAGGGTGGTTTGTTGTCACCAGGGGTGGCTGGGCGTGTGGATGTTTACTGAGTCTTGTTATGGGGATTTTTTTTTTGTGAGCCCTTTTTTGTGCTGCATGCAGATCGTTGATTAGAAGCCGGCTGTGATTTTTTTTTTATTAAGTTAATATGGTTTTTATAGGTTTTAAAACTATGCCTTGTTCTTTTGGGAGTCATGCACTGTCGTAACCCTCCCCCCAGTCATGCAATTGAGACCGGGGTTGTGTGTGTGTCTACATCCATTGAAGCAACGAATAATAAATGCTCTTGGACTTGAAAGGGACAGTCACCCTAGACGTCTTCCACTCTTTCTTGCAGGGCTCCAATCATTGTAATGGTAAACCGTTTCCAGCTGAGCCGGAGCCGGCAAATGGCCACCTGAGGCTCACCTCAAATCCTGTGGTGCTAAAACAGCCGGTGGAAGAAGTGAGGGCTCTGCGACTCCTGGACGAGACCCCCTTGCACCACTCGGCCTACATCCCAGTGCCCCAGCAGAGGTATGGTAGTGGGACCATTGTTTGTGGTGGCTGTCTCCTCTCCGCTCCGTTCCTCTTCTCCCCTCCCCTCCCTCATCTCCTCTCCCCTCCTCTCCCCTCCTCTCCCCTCCCTCCCTCTCCCCTCCCCTCCCTCCCTCCTTCCTTCCTTCCTTCATTCCTTCCTTCCTTCCTTCCTTCCTTCCTTCTCTCCTCTACTTTCCTTTTCCTTTTTCCTTTCACTTCCTCCTATTTTTTTTCCTTTCATTTCCCTTTCCCTTTCCCGTCCCTTTCATTTCCTCCTCCAAGGGACCTTGGAGGTTATCAAGTCCAACCCCCTGCTCAAGCAGAAATCCTGTATCATTTCAGTCTCTTCTTAAAAACTTCCGGTGTTGGAGCATTCACCGCTTCTGGAGGCAGGTTGTTCCACTGGTTAATTGTTCTCACTGTCAGGAAGTTTCTCCTTAGTTCCAGGTTGCTTCTCTCCTTGGTTAGTTTCCACCCGTTGCTTCTTGTCCTGCCTTCAGGCGCTTTGGACAACAGCTTGACTCCCTCTTCTTTGGGGCAGCCCCTGAGATACTGGGAGACTGCTATCATGTCCCCCCTCGTCCTTCTCTTCGTTAAACTAGACATACCCAATTCCAGCAACCGTTCCTTATATGTTTTAGCCTCCAGTCCCCTGATCATCTTTGTGGCTCTTCTCTCAAGCCGTTGCTGTAGACAGCATATTTGATGGATTCATACCTTTAACAGATGAAATATGAGAATCTTGCATTTTGAACATTGCCCTGGGTATCGCTGGGGCATGAGATTAAGGCAGCCAGGAGTGTCCAGATGGTTACCTGTGCAGGAGGCAGGTGAAGCAAACTTAGAAGCCGGCAGAAGGTAATTGAACTTGCGAGGTGCAGAATTTTCTGCTGCAGAATTCCTGAAGCTGCTTTAACTAGGGGGAGATGGCATCTGGTTAAACTGGTGCAGACTGGCTGTTTATTTAATGAAGAGAAGGACGAGGGGGGGACATGATAGCAGTCTTCCAGTATCTCAGGGGCTGCCCCAAAGAAGAGGGAGTCAAGCTATTCTCCAAAGCGCTTGAAGGCAGGACAAGAAGCAACGGATGGAAACTAACCAAGGAAAGAAGCAACCTAGAACTAAGGAGAAGCTTTCTGACAGTTAGAATAATTAACCAGTGGAACAACCTGCCTCCAGAAGCTGTGAATGCTCCAACACTGGAAGTTTTTAAGAAGAGACTGGACAGCCATTTGTCTGAAATGGTATAGGGCAGTGGTGGCGAACCTATGGCACGGGTGCCAGAGGCGGCACTCAGAGCCCTCTCTGTGGGCACGCGCGCCGTCGCCCCAGTCCTAGGCCTTCAACTGGGTTTTATAAAACCTTTTCGCCTTAGGTCTCCGCCGCCATGTGCAAACAAAAAAAAGGTTCAGTCAATTTCAACTTCTTGCAGGAAAAAAAAAGATCTTGCAAAGTTGGAATTGATTGATTGAACTTTTTAGTCCCACCTAGTCTGCCGTTACCACTGCAGCCACGCCCACCCAGTGGGCCACGCCCACCCAATGGGCCACACCCACCCGGCACTCAACAATGCATAAGTGCGTTTTGGGTTGCAGTTTGGGCACTCAGTCTCTAAAAGGTTCGCCATCACTGGTATAGGGTTTCCTGCCTGAACAGGGGGTTGGACTAGATGATTTCCAAGGTCCATTACAACAACAACAACAACAACAACAACATCATCATCATCATCATCATCATCATCATCATCATCATTATTATTATTATTATTATTATTATTATTAGTGCTTTTTTTCTTAAAAAAAAGGTGCTGGAACTCACACATGTCACACAACCCGCCTTGCCTACCCTACAAGGTTCCATCCCAAAAAGGTGCCGGAACTCCGTTCTGGGCATTGTATGACAAAAAAAGCCCTGATTATTATTATTGTTGTTGTTTTGCTGTTATTATTATTTTTAGTGTTTTTCTTAGTATTATAAGGTACTCTGACTCCAGATGATTCTGGATGGTGACCAGTAAAAAAAAACAAAATTCAAGAATACAGTCCGTCCTCGACTTACAACAGTTCATTTAGCGACCGTTCAAAGTTACAACGGCACTGACAAAAGCGACTTATGACCGTTTTTCACACCTAAGACCGTTGTAGCATCTTCCAGGGTCACGTGATCAAAATTCAGATGCTTGGCCACTGGCTCATATTTACGACGGTCGCAGCGTCCCGAGGATCACGTCATCCCCTTTTGCGACCTTCTGACAAACAAAGTCAACGGGGGAAGCCGGATTCACTTAACAACCGCGTTACTAAGCAAATGCGGTGAGTGACTTAACAAACTACGGCAAGAAAAGTCGTAAAATGGGACAAAATTCGCTTAACAGCCGTGTTAAACTAACTTAATAACTGCAGCGATCCACTTCACAGCTGTGGTAAGAGAGGTCGTAAAATGGCGCACAACTCACTTAGCCATTGTCTGGCTTAGCAACAGAAAGGATGGGCTTAATTGTGGTCGTAAGTCGAGGACTACCTGTAAAATCAATCAGGAAAAAAAATACAGTGGTTAATTTAAAGCAGTGTTTCTCAACCTTTGGGGAACTTTCAGCAGTGTGGACTATGCTGGCTGAGGAATTCTGGGAGTTGAAGTCCACAACTTTGTAGCAGAGGCAAAGAGGAATTCTGGGAGTTGAAGTCCACAACTTTGTAGCAGAGGCAAAGAGGAATTCTGGGAATTGAAGTCCACAACTTTGTAGCCCAGGCAAAGAGGAATTCTGGGAGTTGAAGTCCACAACTTTGTAGCCCAGGCAAAGATGTGGGTGCAAATGTCTCAGATCTTGGACGGTTGTGCCTGCAAGTCCGCCCCAATCCCCCTGGGGCTGGCTGGTTGCGTTGTGCCTTTTGTGCTATTGCTCTCGCTCCATTGCTCGGGGCGAATGTGCTACACACACGTCACGAACATCAGGCTAAAAATAAGCCATCAGTCAAGAGGCCAATTATGCAGGTTTAATCTTCTTAGATTACAAGCGCGAAGGGCGCTACCATAAAGTCCCTCTGATCCGCCTGGCATGAAGTGGCAGGGGAAAAAAATAAAAAAATAAAAAAACTTCCCTTTGCTCTGGAGAAACGAAGCCGAAGAGTGATCAAAGGCAGTGCCGCCTAGTGGGAAGAGGATCCCCTGCCCTTTCTGGGCCGTGGAGGAGGAGAAAATGTCAGCTTTGCTTGCAGAACTATTTGTTGCTGTGTTGTATTCTGAGGTGGCTGTTCTTTTCCTGATGTGGGGGTAGGAAATCCCCAGAATTCTCCCCGTCAGCAGAGGGAATTCTGGGAGTTGAAGGCCCAGCCTGCCTAGAGAGGCTTCAGGTTGAGAAGGCTGGTCTAGGATTGGCGCCTCTAATGCACCAAGCCTGTGTCTTTGGTGGTGGATATACAGGTAGTCCTCGACTTACGACTGCAATCGAATCCAAAATTTCAGTGAAAAGGTTTTCAGTGAGTTTTGCTCTGTTTTACGACCTTCCTTGTCAGTGTTGTTAAGTGAATCACTGCAGTTGTTAAGTAAGTAACATGGTTGTTCAATGACTCTGGCTTCCCCATTGATTTTGCTTATCAGAAGATTGCAACAGAGGATCACATGACCCCGGGGACACTGCAATTCGTCATAAATACGAGTCAGTTGCCGAGCATCTGAATTTTTAGTCCCGGGACCCTGGGGATGCTGCAACGGTCATAAGTGTGAATCAGGGTCATCGGTCACATTTTGTTGTAGCTTTCAATGATCACTAAATAAATGTTTGTAAGTCAAAGATTACCTCCTGCACAGTGCTCTTCAGGTGTTTATTTGTTGAACGTTTTTGTGATATTGCGTGGGTACAGGGCACCCGTCCTCTCTTTCTACTTTAGCGGGTCTTTGTGTGTCTCTCTCTGTGCGTAAGTAATAATTAAAAGACAGATTTGGGTATGCCTAGTTTAATGAAGAGAAGGACGAGGGGGGACATGATAGTAGTCTTCCAGTATCTCAGGGGTTGCCCCCCAAAAGAGGGAGTCAAGCTATTCTCCAGACAGAGTATCCGAAGGCAGGACAAGAAGCAACGGATGGAAACGGAGAGAAACAACCTGGAACTAAGGAGAAATTTCCTTACAGTGAGGACAATTAATCAGTGGAACTGCTTGCCTCCAGAAGTTGTGAATGTTCCAACATTGAAAGCTTTTAAGAAGAGACTGGACGGCCATTTGTCTGAACTGGTATAGAGTTTCCTGCCTGAGCAGGGGGCTGGACTGGATGATCTCCAAGGTCCCTTTCTATTCTATTCTATTCTATTCTATTCTATTCTATTCTATTCTATTCTATTCTATTCTATTCTATTTCCATTCCATTCTACCCGTCCCTTTCAATTTACTTGAGCAAAAAGGCAAGCGTCGTTTTAACTGGTTCTCGCCCCCTCCCCATTTCATTGCAACTCAACTTACAACAGTTCGTTTAGCGGCCGTTCAAACTTGCAACGGCACTGGAAAAAGTGACTTACGACCATTTTTCACACTTACAACCATTGCAGCATCCCCCAGGCTCAGAATTCAGACGCTTGGCAAGTGACTCCTATTTACGACGGTTGCAATGTCCGGTGTGTGTGTGTGTGTGTGTGATCCCTTCTTGCGACCTTCTGACAAGCAAAGTCAACGGGGGAAGCCAGATTCGCTTAACGACCGTGTGACTAACTTAACTGCGGGACTCCCTTAAAACGGAGCTAGAAATATCCGTAAAACCCGCATAGCAGATTCCTCACTTAGCAGGGTAAATTTTGGGACTCGGTTGCAGTCGTAAATCGAGAACGACCTGCAGGCTGACTATTGCCAGCCTGTTTGCTTTGCTCTCCTCTGGATTTGGAAAACTCCTGGAACCCCGGCTTGGAGGGAAAGGAAAAATAATTTGGGAATTATTTTCTTTTTTCTTTTTCTTTTTGGGAACAGCCAGAGGAAGTTAGCCGACATCTGCCTCGGATTTTAGCCCCAGGG